TTTGTTCTTCAGTCTAGTTGTGGAGGACGTCGCTTCACTGGCCCATGTTGGTATTATGGTCATTGTGCTCTTCCTGGCTGAGGCAGATTGGTCATAGGCTGTCCAGTGGCTGCTCACGATGGCTCATGGCAGCTCACACTGGCTGCTGGATGCTCATGCTGGCTGTTGGCCACTCATGGTAGCCTATGGCAGCCCACTGCAGCCTATGCCTTCACCAGCGACTCACGGCAGCCCAGCTCCAGGTTGAGCTGTTGTTCACCATCTTAGCTATAGAGGGCACAGCATCACTGTCCCATGTGGGATCTGAACTGGCGGCCCTGCTGCTTAGAGCTTGCATTCCCAAGCCAACTCTTCACCAATGAGCCACTTGGCCAGCCCTAACTGGTTGTTTTTCATGATTTCTGTATCCTTCTTTATGTTCTCACTAAGTTCCTTAAACATTCTTATTATCAGTGTTCTAAACTCTGCCTCTGATAGGTTGGTTGCCTCTATTTCATCGAATTCCACTAATTCTAGAGGTTTTTTTCTGTTCTTTTATTTGGGACGTGCTTCTTTGTTTCCCCATTCTGGCTGACTTTTTGTGCTTGCTCCGATGTATTAGGTAGATCCCCTAGGTCTCTCAGTCTTCACTGGGTGGACTTATGTGGTGTATGTACTTTATATTTGAATTGCTCAGTCTCCCTATTCTCCTGTGCGTGTGTTCCAGAGGTATCCCTTATGTTGTGTAACTTCTCCTGTTGAAGCTGAGCTTTGATTGCTTTTGGCTTGTTGTCAGTACATGGGATTGACTCCCAGGCTAACTAGCTGTGAGAATTGGCTATGTCCACAGCTGCTGTGTGAGGGTTGACCCCTCAAATGAGGTTTCACCCCCATGGACTCTTATGCCTGTAGAGAATTCCCTTTCAGTGTATCTCTTGTAGGTCAAACCTAGTAATGCTCTGTTTTGGTCTAGAGTTAGCCTCTGGGTGTGATGATTCTTGTGCCTCGTTGGCTGGGCCCTGGTGCAGAAGATTTCAGAACAAAACAAATCAACAAGCATAACAACAACCACCAAAAAAAACAAATACAGTCACATGTAGAAACAACTGACAACCAACATTCGACATGCACAGAAGTATCAAAAATACAAAAAACAAAAGAAACAAAACAAACAAAATGGTAACACCAAAAAGAAAAAATTACAGAAAAATGGAAAGGAGGAAAAGTAGAGCAGAGAAAAGAGAAAAGAAGGCAGAGAGAAGGGAGAAAAAAAATATATGTATATATGCGTCTACGCACATATATATGGACATATGTATACACACACACACACATATATATACACATATATAAAAAACTAAAAATGAAAGTAATAAAATAGAAAAACAAAAACAAAAAAGATAGAAAAAAACAGTGCCCATCTTGGCTTAAATCCACCGAGCTATCTCCAGGTTGTCTTCTGCTGTACAAAAACTTGTCTGTGTCTTGTGGATGCAGAGCTGGCCACCTGGTGCCCAAAGTGACCCTGGTGATGCAGTTCTAGATGAGTGGGGCTATGAGGTGTGGTTGGTAGTTTTTACAAAATCAGTGTATTTTCTGTTCTCCCAGCTGAGAGCACCACAGCCAGAGCCACCTTCAGACCTGTGCGCAGGTCTCCTGGGTCTTAGGGCCCTCTTTCCACTTGGGGCTGTGAAGGGCATGAGATTTCCGAGCTCCTGAAATCCAAGTGCTGCCTCTATCACCGGCTGCTGGGCTCTGTGTGACTCAGCAACTGGAGCCCCCCAGGAAAAGGTGGGGGTGGGTAGGTAGTGACACACTTCCCTAGGTCACAGCTGCAAGCTGGCTATTTCTGTTTCCTGGGGGCTGCAGCACCTCTGTAATCTGACACTATTCCTCCATTCAGGGACCAGCTTAAGACTTTGTAAGGGCAGGGATAGGGTTGCTGTGGGAGGGTGGGAGTGGGGTCCTGGTCATGGAGTTGGTTTTTTTTTTTCTTTCTGACTGACTGAGAGAGCCCAGCTGCAGTTTTGAGCTGCGGCTTCTGCCTCGGACGCTTGGCACTGCTGTGCTCTATGCTGAACTCTTGGCAGGACAGTGGGGCATAGGGAGGGAGCCCGTCGCCTTGCTGTTGTAATAATCTGTGGTCTGCTTCCTGGAGCCCTGCATCTCCACAGCCACGGATGCGGGCTACGCGGGCTACGTCTCCGCATGCCTCCCTTCCCTCTTTCCCTGATCGCCCGGTTTGCCCACCTTCAAGTCATCCTCGTGCGAGTCTCTTAGCTGTTCTGTGTGATGAGCAGGGATTCCTCTGATGAGTTACAGCTGTTCAATTTGTGGTAATTTCCAGGGGAGAACTCAGGGAGCCCACCTCACTGCCTCCATTTCTATCCATGCATCTGACATCTTCTTTACATCTTTAGTTACAGGAATTCTGTTCAGGTAGTCTTCAGGTGGTTCTCTATTTTGGTTCTATATAAAGATAGTGAACAAAGATCCCCTGTCACAGCTCTGCCCTCCATCTTCCTAGGTCTCACTGCTGTCACCAGTTTTTATTTTTATTTTCTTTCCTAATACAAAATGTAGCATAATATACACAATGTTCTATTGCTGTTTGTACTTAACAATGTCTTGGCTGTGTTCTGTATGAGTACAGAACTTATTCATTCCTTTTAAACAGCTGCAGAGTAGTGGTAGTGCATTTTTAGCAGTACCAGTATTTATTTCATGGTCTCCTACTCATGGACTTTTGGTTGTTTTCTGTTTGTAGTCTGATGAGGAAGGCAACCAGGAGAAAGGAGGAGAAGACGGGCAGCAGAAGTTTATTGCTCATGTCCCTGTGCCATCACAGCAAGAGGTAGGTAGAGGCTGAGAGCTGCCATGGCAAGTGGAGCTTCCCAAATGCCAGGGGCCTCGCCTCTAGAGGAGACTCCACAGAATGGGTTTTTATCATCCTGTCTATTCATTTGGGCACCTCTGACTCCTGACCACATGGCACTGCTCACTGTGCTCATACAAGATGTGCTCAAACAATATGGTGAATGTTTAAATTAAAAAAAATTATTACAGTAAAAGACATTGCTATTAATCCGCCTCAAAATACGCCCTGCCCCGCTTCAAACACGGTTATTCCATCGTTCTTGCCACTTTCTGAAGCAGTTCTGGAAATCCTCTTTTGTGAGTTTCTTTAGTTGTGCTGTCATGGCTGCTTTGATGTCCTGAATCAATTCAAAACATTTATCTTTCATGGTCATTCTGACTTTGGAGAAGAGCCAGAAGTCACATGGTACCAGATCCAGTAAATTAGGTGGATAAGGACACACTGCATTGTTTTTATTTGACAGAAATTGCTGTATCAGAAGTGATGTGTGACAGAGCCTTTCCATTGTGATCAAAATATATGATTAATGCTGCTGCCGAGTGCCATCCAACAGAAAAGCAGGGATCTTTAATATGGGAAGTGGCACGTCGAACCTTAGTAACAGTGTGTGACAAGTTCCAACTTGTTTTGTGAAGTCAGGTGTGAACTACAGTTGAGAGAAGGTGTGTTTTAAAGTGTGCTGTAAATCATTCTCCATCATGACAANAGAAAATGTTCCATGTGCCCTTGAGAAGAATGTATATTCTGTAGCTTTGGGGTGAAATGCTCTGAAAATATCGATTAAATCCAACTGTTCTAATGTGTCATTTAAGGCCGCTGTTTCCATATTGATTTTCTGTCTGGAGAACCTGTCCCTTATTGTCAGTGGTGTATTGAACTTTCCTACTATGATAGTGTTACTGTTGATCTCTGTCTTTATGTCGGTCAATACCTGTTGTATATATTTAGGTGCTCCTATGTTAGGTGCATAGATGTATACTAGGGTTAAGTCCTCTTGTTGGATCGATTCCTTTATTATTATGTGGTGCCCTTCTTTGTCTTTTATTATATTCTTCAATTTAAAGTCTATTTTGTGAGATATAAGTATTGCTACTCCAGCTTTTTTCTCATTTCCATTTGCATGAAATATCTTACTCCATCCTTTTACTTTCAGCCTGTGTGTGTCTTTTGATCTAAGGTAAGTCCCTGGTATACAGCATATGCAAGGGTTTGTTTTCTTATCCATTCAGCCACCCTATGTCTTTTGATTGGCACATTTAATCCATTTACATTTAATGTGATTATTGATAGGTACATAATTATAGCCATTTTGTTATTTGTATTTCTGGTCTTCATTAGTTGGATTGTTTTCCTCTTTCTTCTGCTTAAAGAAGCCCTTTTAACATTTCCTGCAATGCTGGCTTGGTGGTAATTAATTCCTTTAGCTTATTCTTTTCTGAGAAGCTCTTAATCTCTCCTTCAATTTTAAATGAGAACCTTGCTCGATAAAGCAATCTAGGTTGTAGGCCTTTGTGTTTTTTTTTAATTAATTAACTAATTCATTAATTTATTTTTTGTGGAAGGGTGTATGCTGTGACCTCTGGCATCTTGTAGGCCTGCCACCTGTTCCCTGTATCTTTTTCCCTCATCTAGCAGGAAGCAGACTATTGAGATGATACTCAGAACTTGGAGGGGGGCCACTTTTATAAGAGGGAACAAACTTTGATACCTAGAGAAGAAGAGATTTAGAAATCCTATAATAAACTCACAGAGGGATGCTCTATGGCTAAGATGTGTAAGGTCAGTAAAGGCCTTACTAGTATTCCGGCAGTGGAAGAAGTGGACTAGTAACTGGCTGAGATATTCTGGCAGGATGTAGCCCTAGATGTATACGGTAGATGGTGCAATCACCAGAAAATAGATGCTGAGTATGTGCTACACAAAAACAACATGTTCCTTCTTCCTTACATTGATTGCCGGACCATCGGTGGCCCAAGTCTTCAAAGAGAACTTGATGTGGGCCCATAATTGCCCTCGCAAGGTGAACTAAAAATAGACGCTTTGTGGCTAGATCAGTCTTATACTGTGTTAGTTCCATTGTCTTATCTCTATTGCTGGTCTGTGCTGGACAGAACTGAGGAGGTCTCACGTGGATAGGTCCTGGACCAACGTCTCAGTTCTTGGCATGAGATTGAAGGCAGAAAAGTTAGAGGAAGAGGGAAAAGGAGGGAGTTCTTAGGTCAGCACCCTAATGGGCAGTCAGTCCAGGAGAAGGAACCAAGAGACCTTCAGGACCCACCTCATAGTTGCCACAGACAGGGTCCCTCATTTGCCCTCAAGTGCTTCTCTTAGACTTGCTCTGTGTTTAGATCCCCATGGAAAGGAAGACAGGACAAGGCCAACATTCCCGACAAGTTCAGGGGATTGACTGAATCCCTTCCTTTAAGCCTGTCCTCCAAGTCTTGTAGGTCGGCAGCCATGCCTGTCGCTTTTAAATGTCTGACAGAAGCCGATTTTTTTTTTTGAGAGAGAGAGAGGGGGTGGGGGGGAGAGGGAGAGAGAGACTTAAAATGGAAGCCTGAAGCTGGGCAAGTGGCAGCAGAAGTGTGAAGTATGCTTACCTCACCTTATATCCCCATCAAACCCCCAAATGATATAGGATCCTGGTGTCTGGTGCCTGGAAATTGTGGTCTCTCGTACCCGAAGAATGAGAACGCAGACTCAGAGGGGTAGAGGAGCAAAGATTTTAATTGAAGTGAAAGTAGAGCTCTCTTATGAGAGAGGGTACCGGAAACTGGGATGCCCCTGTTTTTTGGTTGTTTTTTTTTTTAAGATTTTATTGGAGAATTAGGGACGGGGAACTTTGTTGGCGAATTGGGGAAGGGGAACAGCTGAGTTGTTGTGCTTCAGTCTTAGTTGTGGAGGGCGCAGCTAGCTCAGCTTCAAGTCCAGTCTCCATCTGTCTACCCGTCGGCAACTCCCTGCCGCTCAGCTGAAGATGCTGTGTTCAATCTTAGTTGCAGAGGGCGCAGCCCACCATCACATGCGGGAGTCGAACTGGAAGCCTTGTTGCTAAGAGCGCACGCTCTAACCAGAGAGTCATCTGGCCACCTGTCAGTAGCTCAGGGAAGCTCAGCTCAAGGTGCTGAGTTCAATCTTAATTGTGGATGGGCGTAGCTCACCATCCCATGCAGGAGTCGAACCAGCAACCTTGTTGTTAGGAGCACGTGCTGTCACCAGCTGAGCCATCCTTCTACCTGTTGGCAGCTCAGCGGCAGCTCAGCTCGGGTGCAGCTCACTGGCCCGTGTTGAAATCAAACTGGTGACCCTGTTGCTCTGAGCTCGCGCTCTTATCCAATGGAGCCACTTGGCCGACCCTAGGCCTTTGTTTTTCATCACTTTGAGTATCTCCTGCCACTCCCTTCTGGCCTGCATGGTTTCTGTAGAATAGTCAGCTGATATTCTTATGGGAGCACCCTTGTAAGTAACTAGTTGCCTGTCTCTTGCTGCTTTTAGGATTCTGTCTTTGTCTTTAACCCTTGCCATTTAACTATAATGTGTCTTCGGGTGGACCTATTTGGGTTCATCTTTGTTGGAACTCTCTGCACTTCCTGGGCTGTATGTCAATTTCTCTCACCAGGTTAAGGAAGTTTTCAGTCATTATTACTTCAAATATGTTCTTGATCCCTTGCTTTCCTCTCTTCTCCATCTGGTATTACTATGATGCACATGTTGTTGCTCTTGATGTTATCCCACAGTTCTCTTGAACTATTTTCATTGCTATT